CTTCAGTACTGGCCAGGTGAGGGCTTCAGTACTGGCCAGGTGAGGGCTTCAGTACTGGCCAGGTGAGGGCTTCAGTACTGGCCAGGTGAGGGCTTCAGTACTGGCCAGGTGAGGGCTTCAGTACTGGCCAGGTGAGGGCTTCAGTACTGGCCAGGTGAGGGCTTCAGTACTGGCCAGGTGAGGGCTTCAGTACTGGCCAGGTGAGGGCTTCAGTACTGGCCAGGTGAGGGCTTCAGTACTGGCCAGGTGAGGGCTTCAGTACTGGCCAGGTGAGGGCTTCAGTACTGGCCAGGTGAGGGCTTCAGTACTGGCCAGGTGAGGGCTTCAGTACTGGCCAGGTGAGGGCTTCAGTACTGGCCAGGTGAGGGCTTCAGTACTGGCCAGGTGAGGGCTTCAGTACTGGCCAGGTGAGGGCTTCAGTACTGGCCAGGTGAGGGCTTCAGTACTGGCCAGGTGAGGGCTTCAGTACTGGCCAGGTGAGGGCTTCAGTACTGGCCAGGTGAGGGCTTCAGTACTGGCCAGGTGAGGGCTTCAGTACTGGCCAGGTGAGGGCTTCAGTACTGGCCAGGTGAGGGCTTCAGTACTGGCCAGGTGAGGGCTTCAGTACTGGCCAGGTGAGGGCTTCAGTACTGGCCAGGTGAGGGCTTCAGTACTGGCCAGGTGAGGGCTTCAGTACTGGCCAGGTGAGGGCTTCAGTACTGGCCAGGTGAGGGCTTCAGTACTGGCCAGGTGAGGGCTTCAGTACTGGCCAGGTGAGGGCTTCAGTACTGGCCAGGTGAGGGCTTCAGTACTGGCCAGGTGAGGGCTTCAGTACTGGCCAGGTGAGGGCTTCAGTACTGGCCAGGTGAGGGCTTCAGTACTGGCCAGGTGAGGGCTTCAGTACTGGCCAGGTGAGGGCTTCAGTACTGGCCAGGTGAGGGCTTCAGTACTGGCCAGGTGAGGGCTTCAGTACTGGCCAGGTGAGGGCTTCAGTACTGGCCAGGTGAGGGCTTCAGTACTGGCCAGGTGAGGGCTCAGTACTGGCCAGGTGAGGGCTTCAGTACTGGCCAGGTGAGGGCTTCAGTACTGGCCAGGTGAGGGCTTCAGTACTGGCCAGGTGAGGGCTTCAGTACTGGCCAGGTGAGGGCTTCAGTACTGGCCAGGTGAGGGCTTCAGTACTGGCCAGGTGAGGGCTTCAGTTACTGGCCAGGTGAGGGGCTTCAGTACTGGCCAGGTGAGGGCTTCAGTACTGGCCAGGTGAGGGCTTCAGTACTGGCCAGGTGAGGGCTTCAGTACTGGCCAGGTGAGGGCTTCAGTACTGGCCAGGTGAGGGCTTCAGTACTGGCCAGGTGAGGGCTTCAGTACTGGCCAGGTGAGGGCTTCAGTACTGGCCAGGTGAGGGCTTCAGTACTGGCCAGGTGAGGGCTTCAGTACTGGCCAGGTGAGGGCTTCAGTACTGGCCAGGTGAGGGCTTCAGTACTGGCCAGGTGAGGGCTTCAGTACTGGCCAGGTGAGGGCTTCAGTACTGGCCAGGTGAGGAACAGGTGCTGGTCAGGTGAGGAGACAGGTGCTGGTCAGGTGAGTAGTCAGGCACAGTTGGAGCGAGAGCTGAGACAAGGGTTTTTCCTCTTAATGACTGTCATGAACTTGTGCTCCTCACTTTTCCCTCTGCTCCTCCATGCGCCCCCCCTGTTCACGCACCTGTGTCCCCTGCTGAGGGTACGATCCCGCCCGTGCTACTATCATCCCACCCGTGCTACTCTCATCCCGCCCGTGCTACTATCATCCCACCCGTGCTGCAGGCGTTCTCCCCACGGGCCGCAACATCCATGCGCTAGACCCCTACCGCATGCCCTCAGCAGGTGAGGCATGGCGCGTTTTTGAGTCGACTCAAAAGTAAGTCACATCCATGCGCGGTCTCGAGTCCATCCATAGCAGCCAACATGATCCAGCATCACATGGACCAACACGGCACATACCCTGTGCCTCTCCCCCTCACTTTCTCCCACACCCGCTCACTCTCTCTCGCTCTTCCCCCCTTCCCTCTCCCCAGCTGCATGGGAGCGCGGCAGTGCCATAGCGGCCAACATCATTCAGCAGCACGTGGACCAACATGGTACATACCCCGAGACCATTGCCGTCATGCTGTGGGGGCTTGACGCCATCAAGGTGCGCATTAGATTGTTAGGCTGTCTCATCCCTCTTTCTGTCTCATCCCTCTTTCTGTCTCATCCCTCTTTCTGTCTCATCCCTCTTTCTGTCTCAGCACTTCCTGAAAAGCATCACCTTCGCCTCGTCCTTGATGCATGCCCTCACTTCCCGGCCCTGTCCCCTCTCCCTCCCTGCCGCTGCCTCTTGTTGCCTTCCTCTGCCTGTCAGACGCGTGGCGAGTCTGTTGCCATAGCCCTTGCGCTTGTGGGGGCCCACCCTGTGAAAGAGGTCAGTGGGGAGGGGGACGATGCGGAGTGGGTAGTGGCAAGGGGGGATCGCAGAGTCTTTGTAAAAGACATATTCTTCATGTTTTGTCAAATGACTATTGTTCTCCGCAGCCCTTGGCATGTCCTAGGTGCAACACTGTTCCCCCGTGTCCTAGGACATTGGAGGACACTGAAAGCATGAAACTGTCATTCCGCCACCCGATATCCTCCTCCCCCTCCCCCTCCCCCTGCCGCTTTTTACTACCCTCGCAGGGCACGGGGCGAGTGGTGTGCTTTATCCTCACTCCCCTGGAGGGCATGTAACCCACAAGTAACCCACAAGTATCAGGCCCTCATCATCCCTCACTCCTCTCCGCTGCACCCCTGCAGGGCACGGGGCGAGTGGTGCGCTTTGACCTCACTCCCCTGGAGCAGCTGGGCCGCCCGAGAATAGACGTGCTCGCCAACCTCTCAGGCATCTTCCGAGACAGGTGGGACATGTGTTGATGTTATGAGGCACCTTGAAAACGAGAATCGACGTGCTCGCCAGCCTCTCAGGCAACTTCGGAGGCCGGTGAGCAAAGGAGAGTACTCATAGCCTCCTGTAGGAGCTGCCATAAATAAATATCTTGCTCTTTGCTAACGCAAACCAGTTTTGCCAATGTTGTGGAGCTCTTGGGGTGACCTGGCCATGGTGCCACAACACACGCCAGCCTTCCGTTCCCTCCCCTTCCCCCTCCCCCGTCTCCCCTCCCCTTTCCCCCCTCGCCCCGCTCCTGCAAACCAGTTTCGCCAATGTGGTGGAGCTGCTAGATGACCTGTTCAGGCGGGCAGCAGAGGCGGATGAGCCATCGGAAATGAACTTCATCAAGAAACACTCGCTGGCGCTGCAGGTATTTTGATGCAGTTCCTTCCTCTGGCTCCGTCCTCCGCTTTCCTGACTGATCTCGTTACCCGTTGCGTGTGGCCTGCTGTAGCTGTACCTGTACCTGTAGTTGTAGCTGTAGCTGTAGATGTTTCTGACTTCCGTGTTCGTGGCCCTGCCTATTGGCATGAGCTACTCGTTAGACGCTGTCACCTTCGTTTCTCCTGATGACTGACCCTGCAGGCTGAGGGCATTGATGCTTCAACGGCCAGGATCTTCTCCAATCCAGCGGGCGACTACGGATCAATGGTCAATGAGCGCATCGGCGCAGCTGACTGGTTCGTTCCGCCACCCTTTTATCCTCCTCTTTCCTCCCTCTAAGTCCTTCTCACTCTGCTGCCCCTCAACCAATCATGTGGCGATGCAACCTGCCATGCCACCTTGCTCATGACTCGGTCTGCTCCCCATGTGCGTGGCAGGGAGAACGGGGAGGAGTTGGGGGACACGTGGCAGTCTAGAAACTCCTTTAGCTATGGCAGGGGCGAGCAGGGCGTGGCTCGACCCGAGGTAAGGTCTTGCTTGTCATGCGCTGTTCTTGTTCTCGTTCTGAGTGCTCCCATGCTGCTTGCACTTTCCCTCACCATTTATTGCACCATTGAGTGTCTTGGATGCCTCTTTAGCAGTCTCCACTTGCCCTTCTTTTGCTTCGATGCATGCCCCCCCCACCAGGTGATGCGCAAGCTGCTGCAGGTCAAGTCGCACACTTCATCTTCTCCACCCTCCCCCTCTCCCCCTGAACCCTCCCCCCACCAGGTGATGCGCAAGCTGCTGCAGACGACGGACCGCATCGTGCAGGAGATAGACAGCGTGGAGTACGGGCTCACTGACATCCAGGTACGGGCTCACTGACATCCAGGTATGGGCTTACTGGCATCCAGGTATGGGCTCACTGGCATCCAGGTATGGTGTGCTGCATGGTGGTAAGGGTGAGAGGTGCAGGGGCTCACGGGCGTCCAGGTATGGGCTCACAGGCATCCAGGTATGGGCTCACAGGCATCCAGGTATGGGCTCACGGGCATCCAGGTATGGGCTCACGGGCATCCAGGTATGGGCTCACGGGCATCCAGGTATGGGCTCACGGGCATCCAGGTATGGGCTCACGGGCATCCAGGTATGGGCTCACAGGCATCCAGGTATGGGCTCACGGGCATCCAGGTATGGGCCCACGGGCATCCAGGTATGGGCTCACGGGCATCCAGGTATGGGCTCACGGGCATCCAGGTATGGGTTCACGGGCATCCAGGTATGGGCTCACGGGCATCCAGGTATGGGCTGCATGGATTTCAGGGTGCGAAGCACAGACTACGAGCACATTAATGCGCATACCTTTCATCCATCCCAACCCGCTCCACGCACCCAACTAGCTCCACTGTACGTTCAGATCTCTCAATGTGTGTTGCCTCAAACCAAGGCGTCTGCTCCCTCTCCGGTGCCCGCTGCTTGGTTGTCCTGCTGGCTGCTCTGTGTGCTGCGTGGTGGCATGATGGCATGATGGCAGGAGTACTATGCCAACACGGGCGCCATGAAGAATGCTGCAGAGACTGCACGCAATGGGGCTAAGGTAACGCGTGCCCTGCTCCTCATGCATGCCATGCCATGCTCCCCGTGCATGCCATGCCCTGCTCCCCATGCATGCCATGCCGTGCTCCCCATGCATGCCATGCCGTGCTCCCCATGCATGCCATGCCGTGCTCCCCATGCATGCCATGCCGTGCTCCCCATGCATGCCATGCCGTGCTCCCCATGCATGCCATGCCGCGCGCGCTCCCCATGCATGCCATGCCATGCTCCCCATGCATGCCATGCCATGCTCCCCATGCATGCCATGCCCTGCTCCCCATGCATGCCATGCCGTGCTCCCCATGCGTGCCATGCCGTGCTCCCCATGGATGCCATGCCGTGCTCCCCATGCATGCCATGCCCTGCTCCTCATGCATGCCATGCCATGCTCCCCATGCATGCCATGCCCTGCTCCCCATGCATGCCATGCCGTGCTCCCCATCCATGCCATGCCGTGCTCCCCATGCATGCCATGCCCTGCTCCCCATGCATGCCATGCCCTGCTCCCCATGCAGGCCATGCCATGCTCCCCATGCAGGCCATGCCGTGCTCCCCATGGTTGCCATGCCCTCCATGGAAGCCCTGCTCCCCATATCTCGTGTTTTCTGCGATGCCAGCACGTGCGATGACCTTTCATGCCATCCCTCCCCCTTCCTTCTCAATCCCCCTCCCTCGCTGCTCCCTCGCAGGTGTCCTGCAGTGTGGTAGAGACATACGGCAAGGACCTGCGCCCGCGAGACCTGGAAGCCACGTTGAGACTCGAGTACCGCTCCAAGGTGGGCTGGCCTCTCCTGCTGCAGGCTTCTGTCTCCTGGCTCTCTCCCTCAGTAGCCTCTGACCACTGCAATCTGTGCTCTCTGGTTCTCTGCGTGCGCACCTTGTTACTCCTGCAATCTACAACCCCCCTTGCCCTATCGCACCTCTTCCCTCCACCTCCCTCCTCGCTTTTTCTCCCTCCCCGCAGCTGCTGAACTCCAAATGGGCGGAGGGGCGTAGAATTCAATCCATGGCTCATTTCCCCACCATTTCCTCTGTATTTGCCCCTCCTCCCTCCCCCCCCTACCAGCTGCTGAACCCCAAGTGGGCGGAGAGGATGGCAGCGCAGGGCAGCGGCGGCGCATACGAGATTTCGCAGCGCATGACAGCGCTGCTGGGGTGGGGCGGCACCACGGGCTTCCAGGAGGACTGGGTGTTCGACCAGGCCGCTGACACTTATGCTCTGGATGATGCCATGGCCGCCAAGCTCAGGAAGAACAACCCCCAGGTACAGCCATGTGGCTTGCATGCCAGGAGGAACAGCCCCCAGGTACAGATACATGAATTATCCATTGATTGATGATGCGCTTACTTCCTTCTCCCTGCAGCATGCAAAGTTGCCGATGCCCTTCATTTTGTGTGGCCCTCCAGTTTGCCCCTCGCCCTCCTCCCTCGCTCTCACCACCCTCGCCCACCACCCCGGAGCATGCTCTAGCACATGCTAGAGGCTGTGCTTCCTGGCGTCCCATCTCCCATCCACCAGCTATTACCTCCACGGCTCTCTCACAGCATCCCCTCCCTCCTGTCCTTACTGCCCCTGCCCTCACCTCCCCTGTCTTTACCTCCTCTGCCCTCACCTCCCCTGCCCTCACCTCCCCTGCCCTCAACTCCCCTGCCCTCCCCTCCACTGCCCTTGCACTTCCACGGCAGGCCTTCCAGAACATTCTGAAACGCATGCTGGAGGCGGCGGGGCGCGGCATGTGGCAAGCGAGCGACGAGGTGATTGAGAAGCTAAGGGAGCTCTATGCTGAGATGGACGACGAGCTGGAAGGGGTCAAGCTGCGCTGACGAGCTCCAAGGGGTCGAGCTGCGCTGACGAGCTCCAAGGGGTCGAGCTGCGCTGACGAGCTCCAAGGGGTCAAGCTGCGCTGACGAGCTCCAAGGGGACAAGCTGCGCTGACGAGCTCCAAGGGGTCAAGCTGCTGTGACGAGCTCCAAGCTTAGAGCGTATTCCTTAAAACCACAGGCTAAAGAAGCACACCCTGGGTGCTCTTGAAAACTCTGTTTTTTGGGGGTCAGAATCTACTGCCCAGCCTGGAGCACTTTGTACCAAATGAAACGAAAAAAAAAGGAGTGCGACAGTTTGAAACATCGCGAGATGGCCACGACTCACCCTGCTGGTACACGACTTCGGTTGAACACGGTGCGACAAGCCCAAGAGTCGCACAACTCAACCAAAATGCACTCCATGCGACCACACCCCACATCCCGTCGTTCAAGAGCTCCATGGGTGTGCAACAGGTTTCCTGAAGTCCATTATCTAGTAGTTTATCACTCGTAGAAAGCCATAGCTGCCACTACACAAGTCATAAAAAAATATCCGCCCGCTCATCGACGTACAACACCCCTCGCTACGTATAGAGTGTTTTAGCCTCGCGAAAAGGCGACCTCGGGAGTAGTATTGGCGTCAATAGTGGGACGATCTAGGATTGGCGAGGAGAGGGGAACGGACGGCAAAGAGGGGGAATGGACGGCGACGAGGGGGGGAACGGACGGCGAGGAGAGGGGGAACGGATGGTGAGGAGAGGGGGAACGGACGGCGACGAGGGGGGGAACGGACGGCGAGGAGAGGGGAAACGGATGCCGACGAGGGGGGGAACGGACGGCGAGGAGAGGGGGAACGGACGGCGAGGAGAGGGGGAACGGACGGCGACGAGGGGGGAACGGACGGCGACGAGGGGGGGAACGGACGAGGAGGAGGGGGGAACGGACGGCGAGGAGAGGGGGAACGGACGGCGAGGAGAGGGGGAACGGATGGCGACGAGGGGGGGAACGGACGGCGAGGAGAGGGGGAACGGACGGCGAGGAGGGGGGAACGGACGGCGACGAGGGGGGGAACGGACGGCGAGGAGAGGGGGAACGGACGACGAGGAGAGGGGTAAGGGACGGCGAGGAGAGGGGGAACGGACGGCGAGGAGAGGGGGAACGGACGGCGAGGAGAGGGGGAACGGATGGCGACGAGGGGGGAACGGACGGCGAGGAGAGGGGGAACGGACGGCGAGGAGAGGGGGAACGGACGGCGACGAGGGGGGGAACGGATGGCGAGAAGAGGGGGAACGGACGTCAAGGAGAGGGGGAACGGACGGCAAGGAGAGGGGGAACGGATGGCGAGGAGACGGGGATGAGAGGGCGAGAAGAGAGCAAGGGAGAGCGAGGAGGGCAGAGAACGGAGGGCGAGGGGAAGGGGGGAGAGGGCAAGTGGCAGAGGGGTAACCAAGGGCGAGGTGTGGGAGAGGGTGAGGGAAGGCGGATGAGAGAGCGGGGAGAGGCGGATGTGAGGGTGAGGAGAGGCAGGGTGAGAGGGAGAGGAGCCTGCTCTCTGCTGCCCACCCGCTCTCTGCTGTCCTCCCTGCTCTCTGCTGCCCGCCCGCTCTCTGCTGTCCCCCCTGCTCTCTGCTGCCCGCCCGCTCTCTGCTGTCCCCCCTGCTCTTTGCTGCCCGCCCACCTCCCTACCTCGCTCCGCTATCCCATCCTTTCCCCCATCCTCCCTCCCCTTTTCTCCCATCCTGTCAAGCATTTCCCCCATCCACTACCCCTTTCACTTATGCCCTCGATTTTGCTCCTCTTTAGGTCACCTATTTTGCAATCGCTTCTCCCCACCTCTCAACCAGTTTCCCCTTCAACCCTATTGTTCACCCACTTGGTCGCCCGCTCTACTATGGCTGTATGCCTCTACTAGTCACCCAGCATTTACCCCCTGTTTTTTACTCCCCCGCCTTTTGCCGACCCATCCTGACAGCCATCCGCTGCAGTTCTGGCACCAAGGGTATGGTGTGCAAGTCTTGCTGATTCAACTGCCAAATTTTTGTTATTTTGCATCCATTCATGAGTGCAACCCAACTTTACAACCTATTGCACCAAGAAACAATTTGCATTTACTTGCATTCAGCTTGCGAGCGCTCGTTTTCTCATGACCATTGTGATGAACAATACATTTGGATAGGTAATTAAAAAAAAAATCCTACTGTGTGTTACGGTGTTTTTGGATACGAGTATTTTGGCGCTTCCAGTCAAAGTGTTGGAAAATCTTGACGAGCGTGTTCGCACTTGACGCCGCTGCCATGCCTTCGCAGCAGATTTCACTCCAAGAGGCGTCTCCGCCCTGTATCCCGACGTTTCCGAACAGGGTGAAGAGATTCACTTCACCAGAATGAACACGCCCCAGCTGCAGCTTTCTTCCCTGTTGGAACTGTCGCGCATGGGTTTGGGACCTCATCGCACACGTTCCGAAATCGCCCATCCTCCCGTAGGTGTGGCTTATGGTGGGTTCTTATCTGCCCAGTTTGTAAAAAAGTTCAATGGCAATTTCGCTCTAGCAACCCAACTTTTTCACAGATGCCCCCACTTCAAGAGCGGCTCACTTGAAGCCCCCCCTATGCTATTTTAGCCTGTGGTTTTAAGCCCTTCCGAAAATAGTAATGACGTATCGTATTAGTGGTACACCATCTTGTTTACACCCCCATTACCCCTTGTGGCTAGCGTCCATACTCCATAAGATTCTGCAGATCCGATACCTTGACTGGAGGAATGAATTGCTGTTGCTTATCCAATTTTGGTGTGCTACAATGAAGGTGGGATGTGGTATGTGCCGAGATTCGGAATTGGTAACAAAATCGGTTCAAATTTATTACAACAAATGGCAACACAGCTTCCGGATGGTTCAAGCGGCGCTCCGTCTATAGCACACTGATGGTCACACCCAAGCACCCATTGCATTTGTTGTAATCAGCCACTTGTCTCGAACCCCAGCCAATTGCCATTCCCTGCACCGCCCTCCCCGCTCCCCTTCCTACAGCTCAATGTAAGTTTCGACCCTAGGATTGAGGGACGAGTTGTCCGGGCCTTGTTCGAACGTGACGACTGCCTGGAACCTATGCTTCGTTGAAAATGTCTTTTGAAACCACCTACCAACCTTATTGCCAGCCGTGGCCTTGAACGCCCTGAGGTCCAGGTTGATGGCAACTCTTGGAGGCCTATGGAATGGGCCGCCCACTGTAGCCTCGGCGATTCTGTCCAAGGAGTACATCCCAAAAATCGTGGTGGCGAAATGTTACCCCCAACTTTACCACAAGTGACTTTGGGGTTTCGCGCCAGCGGGTGACCCTGGGGCTTCCGACTGGGTATCCCACGCGAAACCATCAGTCAGAATGCCCTTCGAGGTAACCCTCAGGTGTCCCATGTGTTGTAACCCACGCGACACCACCGGGTCACCTTCACGTGACACGCGGGGGTCTACGTGGGAACAATTTGACCCGTGCGCATCTCCGGCAAAACTGGGTTCGCGCTCAAGTATAAGGAGAACACTACGTCGTTTGCAAAATGCTGTCGTTATGGTTAGAAAAATAGCAAGCCATCCCCGTCAAAGGCGTCCCGATACGGATACATCCTCCGACTTAGTATACCACACTAACCGCCACCGTTTTCACAATTGGGATTCGCATATGGTTTCCACTACACTTATAGCACCTGCACGGACACAATAACGACCCATCTTCAAACAAAGCCTTTACTGTAGCTAATCAGACGAGCCGCGTTGGGGTTCCGAAACAAAATGCAGCGAATATTTTATAAACTGCCTGTTATTGGCTCTGCGAAAACTGTCACTAAAGACACAAGGTGTGGTAACCTTCCAAAAATCACAAGGGGTTTATTAACCATAGAAACCCATCATAGCTACTCAGTGGACTGGCGGGTCATATGCTGTGCCTCTCTGTGACTGGCTGGTCGAATGGCAAATGCAGTGCAGTGGGAGGGAGGGGGACTACAAACAAGACATGCCAAACACAAGACAGATTTGTGGTGCATGTTGTTGTGCCGCTGGTAGCCTTCAGTTGCACACAACACTACTGCCATAAACAGCGTCAGCTGTGCGAAGTGTAAATGTTGTCCTGCATTCACCCCACAAAAGGCCAGCATAAGCATGCCTCTGTAAAACAATACAGAAAAACCCCAGGATTTGCTTTCAGGCATGTGTCATCTTACCCTCCAACGGTGAAAGCTTGCCACTGAAAATCCCAGCACGTGGGTAACGCCCAGATGCTGCCAAGCCCATTTGCCATATGGACGCCACCTCCAGTTACCCATGTCAAGACTGGCAAAAGCCGCGTTGAGTACACGTGCGCGTCGCCAACACACGGTGCAAACTAGAGCACAACACAGTGGTTTAGGGGTATGGCAGGGATAGGCGGCACGCTGAAACAACATCCCTCCCATCGGAAAACCCATGTAGAAAAGAACTGCAAGCACACCAGACCACACCTGACGATGGGGAGTCGGAGCAGTCAGCCCTGAGTCACCTGACACTGATATGAACACAGAGGCGGAAAAGACAGAGGCTGGGTGAGGAAAAGGGGGAGCACATGGCGGCTTGAGAAAAAAAAAGAAAAAAAAAACATGAATGGCATGAACCTGGGAACAATTTCATAAGAAACTAAGAGGGACAACCCAACAGAAACAAGCGGAGAGGTGTGGGGAAGGGGGGGATCGTAATGAGGGAGGGAGGAGGAGGGGGGAGGTGGGAGGGGGGGGATAGGGTGGGAGGTTCAGAGGGGAAGGGGGGGAGGAGGTAGATATGTGGCAAAGGGCTAGGGATGCGGAGTCGCTACAGCCATACCTGATTTCGGTGACGCGCCCCGATAGCATGTTAGAAGCGCACGAAATGACCCTCGGCGTACCCCCGGTTATGCTCATGTGTCGCGTCCGACGTGCTCCAACAGAGAATCCCACGCGTACTCCGCGATAAGCGCAGGCGTCCCGCCAGCCGATACAAAAGAAAAGAAGCGCATGCGTCATGCCCTGGAGGGGGCCAGAGGGGGCGGGAAGGTGGGGGGAGTGGGGAAGAGAAGAGGGGAGAAAGGGCGGGTAGAGCATGAGTAGAAGGCGGCAGTTTTGGTCATCGAGCATGGATCACCGAGACATAGTCGGAGACCCGCAAGATGCGTCGATGAACTGCGACTCGTAGTCGGATAGAACCGAATCGGATTCGGATTCGGAAGCATGATGACTCACTTCTTTCTTGTTTATCTCGCCGAGGGCCCACGGCGCGAGAGCTTGGGCCTCCGTACACACGCCGCGGAAACGC